TTTTTAACAACTATGATCCCTTTTGATAAATGTAGGCCACAGGTACATTTTGATGTTTATTAAACATTCTGATCATTTATTTACAGTTATATTTTATAAGATATGAATTCTAGTTATTTTGTTTGTTTGTTTTAAATAATGTCTTTAATTTTATTTTATGTGCATTGATGTAAGGGTGTCAGAAGTTACAGACAGGTGTGAGCTGCCATGTGTGTGCTGGGAATTGAACCCAAGTCCTCTGGAAGGGCAGCTAGTGCTCTTACCCACATAGCTATTTCTCCAGCCCCAAACTCTAGTTCCATTGTTTGTAAAATAGTTTTAAACATGTGTAACAGAAAAAGACTACTCTAAAATTTCTAAATTAAAAAATCAATTACTATTTGATTCATGGTAGTACGTAAGACAATGTCTTTAGTGACTTTCACAATATTTTCTACTACATTATCTTTCATATTGAAAAATATTTCATATTTTGCTTTCTACTGACCTAGTAATATTATCCTAAAGCTAATGCAAAGAAGCACAGGGAAATATAAATTTGGTATGTATCCAAAGTAGAATACATGAAACATGATCCTTACCTTTGTAAATTGGCGTAAGACAAGGAATGATAAATAAGTTTGTATTTCTAAGCTTATGTATGAATTTATTTAAAAAGAGGTTAATCACCTTCTAACACACTTTTCACACTGTGCTTTTTAAGTAGGATACTGTCTCTGCCCTGGGAATAAATTCCTTCCCCAAGTCACTTTCTAATTGGAGGAAATGTATTTCCTTGTGAATCAAGAAACTCCACAAAGTAAAACAACACCAAAGATACACTTGAGTAAACTATTCTTTTTGCAGTCTAAATATGTTTTTTTTTCTGTTTTGTGATTACAAAAGGCCAGGAACAATGTGCATGACTGCAACCCGAGAAATTCAAAAGCTGAGGCAGGAGGATTGCAAGTTCAAAGCCATCTAAAGTTTCATAGTAAGACTTTGTTTCTAAGTAAATAAGTAAATGAATCAATAAATAAGTTGAAACAATGTTTTCACTTTTCAAAAAAGAAATAAAAAACAATGAAAACATCAGAAATTGGGAGTTATTTTATTTAATTTTATTAATTTATTTGGAGACTGAGTCTTGTTTGTAGTATGGATGGACTGGAACTCCCTATGTAGATTCATCAGACCTCAAAATTATGATAACCAGTCTGCTTCTGCCTCCCAGTCCTGAGAGTAGTGCCAAGCACCAATGCACCTCACTGTACACACATTTTACATATTATATTAAGACACACTAACAAAATTTCAGATTTATAATGCAGTCATATAGGTGATGGTAAATGCACAAGAAGTCTTGGCATCACTCACCAGGAATAAATTCAGCATGTCCCCAAGTCATTCATCATATTAACTTTATTTTTCCAAAAAATATAGGAAGAAGAGAATGAAAAGTAAAGCTCATTTTTCTCCCTGGAGTGTGTGAACTGGGTGTTATGCAGAATTTCCAGGAATGACCATTTTTGTAAAATGTAGATACATGATGATAGCAGTGAAGGTGAGAACAGACAGCTTCATTTCTATCTTTACTACATGTTGACAGCTAGGACTCAGTATTTATTAATCAGCAATTATGTTCAGGTGTCCCAGCTTGGAAATCCACCTACTTCCTACTTATGATCCCCACCAAGGACCTCTTAAGGTAGAGCATAAAGTAATATGAATAATTTCTTTAAACTCTCCAAATGTCACCATACAAATACACATTGATGGGTCAAATGATAGCAGAGGAGAATTCTAGAACATTCCACCAGATCCTATATTAATGCAGAACTAATATTTTAGACAAGAGAAATTAAAATAAGTATTTTAGAATCATGAATCTTCATCATGAACCATGCATTATTTCATATTTTAAAACAATTTTGTGTAATATTTTCACTTTAACTGTAGACATCATTATGTTTATAGAATACTAAATAATTGCTATGAGAATTTGCATTCAAATCATTACATAATGATGATCAGCATCTTTATTTTTAAAAAGTTTTAGTTTTTATTTTTGTGTATAAGTGCATACATGTGGTGCCATGGAGAGCAGTAGAAGACACTTGACAATCTGGAGCTGGAGTTACAGGTGGTGTTAAGCAAACTCATGTGAGTATGTGAATAAAATATTCAACATCTTGAAGAAGAGCAGCATGAGCTGTTAAATGATGATCCAGCTCTTCAGCTTCTGATAATAACCTGCCCCAAACAATAATAACAATATTATTTATTATTATTATTATTATTATTATTATTATTATTTAAAACTGGAAGAAGAACAAATGTAAAAAGAGACATAGAACTTTCCCAAAATTCTGTAAAGGGATCTAAGTCATAAAGCAAAGTGTAAAATCTTTAAGACAATCAAACTAGCCTCTATGAAAGCTTGAACGAGGTAATGAGTTTAGTATTATTGTTTATGAGTTACATGGAGTATATGAAATGGAACTTTATTTGCCAGAAAATTCTTTGCAATGTTCAATGAAATATATTATATTTAGGACACTGACATGAGAAGAAGAGATAAATCACATTTAGTAATACTAAATATTAAATAAATATGCACTTTTAATACTATTTAGGTAGTAATAAAGACTTTTTCTCACAATTTTGTAACATGACATAAGCTGACTAGATTACATGGATTCCTAAAACCCATAAAATCTTATCAATTTAAAAGTAATAAATATTTTATATTATCTTAATGACATTTAAAGAGAACCAGTTTGCATCAACTTAGAACGAGGTTGTGTAGGTACTTTATAAAGCAACATCCCACTACAGGCTTCTTCCTGAGAAGGACCACTCACGACATTCAAGTCTTTCAGAAAAAGGAGCAAATTCCAAATCCTCCTTTATTGTCACTCCCTATGGTGGGCAGCCAGTTCTCTATTGATAATGGATTTCACTGGACTTTTCCAATCACATTTGAATGTTATTGTTGTTAAAAACAGGTCTTGCTCCTACCCAAATATATATATATATATATATATATATATATATATATATATATATATATATATATATATACACACACACATACATATATATAGTTTATCAGGCACATTGAGTATATAGGGATTTCTCAGTTTCTACTTTACTCCATTCTAATTGAAGTAGAGGGAGAGGTTATTTACTTTATGGATTTCTTTACTATATTTTTCTTAGTTTTATTTGCCTCCTGATGTTAATCATTCTACTACATTTAGTGATGTCTGTTGACCTCTTTGGATAAGAGTATTGGTGGTTTATTAATTATTCTCTTTGACTTACTTGTCATTTGGGTGATTGATACACACTTATGATGTCTTTATCGAGGCAAAAAAGCAGTAACACATTGTGTTTTTTAGTCTTACTTAGGAATCTACAAATAAATGTGTTTAGAATTGGCTGATTTCACTGATTAAAAAAAAAAAAAACCTTTGAAATCATGTTCAAATTTCACAATGTATTGGATACCTAAATCTCACTGTTAGGTCAGCATGTTTCTGAATTTATATCATCCCTATGTAAAGCCTTTTTTTAGGCAAGAACAAAATAATAAAAAATCAGGTTTTAATTGTATGAATAAGAAGACAGAAATATCACCAGAAAGTCTCCTAACTATCAGAGAAGCTACAGCCATGGAGTTTAGAAATATGGTTGTCTAAACAAATATAACTCCAGTAGATAAGGTATCATAGAGGGGGAAAAATTCATGGGGCCTCAAACATAGACAAAGAACTAGAGGTAACTAAGGAATGCTGAGAGCATGAGAAAGAGTCTTCTCCAATGAAGAACAAACACATTGTTATCCAATAGCAGATGGTCAGCCATAAAATCATGCAAGTCAATTTACATAAAGTGAACAAGTTTGTGTACATATATGTATATGATGTGTATGTAATGGTGTGTGTGTGACAACAGGAAAAGAATAGAGGGCATGAATATGAATAACACACATACATAGGAATGGATGGAGGGAGGAAAGCAAAGGGGGAAACAATGTAAATATATTTTAATTTCAAAAAGGAAAAACATTTTTAAAAAGTTATTACTGACTTCTACATTCACAATGAACACATTTTCTATTTGCTTTTATTTAAACCTTAAGTAATAATGCCACAAGAAACAAACTGCTATAGCCATTTTAGTATCTGAGGAACTATACTTCAAACTAAAACCAATCAGAACAGATATAATATATATTATATGCTATCAAAGGAAAAATCAACAAAGAAGATATTACAATGCTAAATAACTAGGCAACACATACCAGGTCACCCACATTCATAAAAGGAACGCTATTTTGGCTACAATCACATAGTGCCCTTCACACAGCAGGAGTAGGTGTCTTCAGTACTTCACTCTTGCCAAGAGACAAATCACCTACACAAAACATAAATTGGGAATTTCTGGAACTAAATGATGTCATAAACTAAGTGGAGAGAAGCTTTCACTCGAACACAGAATAAAATATCTTCTCAGCATCTCATGTAACTATTTCTAAAATTGTGTGTGTGTGTGTTTGTGTCTGTGTGTGTGTGTGTGTGTGTGCGTGTGTGTGTGTGTGTGTGTGTGTGAATTTATGGGAACATGTGTTCCCTAGCACTAGAAGTCCGAGGGCAAATTGAAATAGTAGGTACTCTACGATGATATTGTGACTTCTAGAGATAATGTACAGGTCACCAGACAGAGCAGCATATCAGAATATGTGTTACATTAAATCTGGTAATATTAATTATATCAAGTATTCTTTGGGAGTGAGAGTTCACAATAAATATAAATGTAAAAATGAAGTGTATTTAATTTGGTAATATATACATCACAAAATATATTTTAAGAGATAAATGTCTCTCAACATCACAACTAAATTTTATTTTGTAGCAATCACTAGTGTAGAAAAGATAAGATACATAGTTAAAAAATAGATACCTCTGCAAACTTAGCTATAGGCACATTCAAATTTATATCTGTAGTATAAGCCATTATATTTTAGTAAATTGTTTGCATAAGAATTTTCTCAATGCTACTGTGACATCCTTGTTTCTTAGACTGTATACCAACGGATTAAACATGGGAGTCACAACAGTATAGAAAAGAGAAAGCACTTTATCAGTTCCACCTGAATGACTATTATTGGATGTAAAATATGTAATCATAGCCGATCCAAAAAATAATATCACAACTGCAAGATGAGATGAACAGGTGGAGAAGGCTTTGACCTGACTAGTGGTTGATGACAACTTCAGGACTGTAGAGATGATTTTACTATAGGAAAAGACTATTAACAGGAATGGAACCAACACAAATATCACAGCACCTAGGAAAACCAACATCTCATTCACAAAGATGTCACCACAGGCCAGGTGAAGTATTGGGGGGATGTCACAGAAGAAGTGATTGATTTGGTTGGAGCCACAAAATGAAAGAGAAAAAATCTGTGATGTCTGCCCTATCTGTGCTGGAATTCCACTGATCCAGCAGCCAATCACCAGCTGAGAACACACCCTTTGGTTCATGACTAAAGGATAGTGCAGAGGGTTACAGATGGCCATATAACGGTCATAGGCCATGACAGCCAAGAGGAGGCACTCTGTGGCCCCCAGAATAAGAGTGCAGCACATTTGTAAAGCACAGGCAATGAAAGAGATGCTTCTTCTCTGGGTACTAAGATTGAAGACCATTCTGGGTAGAGTAATTGATACATAACATATCTCTAAAAAGGAAAAGTTGCCAAGAAAAAAATACATGGGAGTCTGAAGAGCAGAGTCTACCCTTGTGATGAGTACAATGAAGCCATTGCCAAGTAGGATAAAGGAATACATGACAACCAAGAGTCCAAGTAGAAACCACTGGAGATGGGGAACATCTGAAAATCCCAGAAGAACAAACTCCTTCAGATTGGTTAGATTTCCTCCTTGTGGATTTTGTTGGCGGTTCATCTGTGAAGCAGATTCAGTCAGCATGGGTTGTTTAATTTCCCTTTGGGTTAAGAGGCTTTTATCCTAATATCCAGTCATCTTGATTAGTTTTCAGTAACTGACCAATAGTATCTAATGTAAATGTATTGGTGCTTATAAATTTTAGTTTTAGCTATTTTAGAACTCTGTAGATTCCCTAAAATATCTTCAAAAATTAATGTGAACCTACCTAATTCTACAGCTCAGGCTATACTAAAATATGGTCTATACACAGAGACCTTGCACCACTGGAAACTCCTGATAAATATACCGACAGACATGTATTATCTCTGATACCATTTCTGACAATGCTTTTATTGATCTGCAAAATTGGCTCAGCACTTATAAACACTGGTTCTTCTTAAAAAAAGACCCAGGTTTGATTACCAGCACCCACATAGCAACTCACAACTGTCTGTAACTCCAGATTTGGGATGACCTGAAACATATATATTCTGGCAAAACACTTACACACTTCAAATAGAATTTTTAAAATGTTTAAAAGAAAATCTTTTGTTTTTACTTCATGTGAATTATGTTAGATTTTTGGGGAAAAATATAATTTTTAAAACATTTACTAGATATTTAAAATAAAAATTGTCCCTACCCTAATCCATAAGTTATATCCAACTGATAATCACTGCAAAAGAAAAAAACTGTTTTCTCCAATACAGTCTCACTGGATATACAAACCACTCTTTAGGGCAGATCCCATGATCAACAGCAGATGGCCAATACTAAACAAACACAATGGCGTTTGGGGCAGTTCTTTGTCCCAAATGCTTTGTCATAGCATTGTTTGTAAACCTTACAAATCTTTTGCATACGTAATGTGGATTCCAGGTTGTGTTTTCAGAGCTTTCAGAGTGTGAATATATGGCTCTCTGTGACACATGCTTAGGCTTTTATTATTTTTTGGCTTGTTCCCTTCTGTTTGCTTGTTTGTTTTATCCTATTCTGGTATGTATGTTGTTACTTTACCATATTTATTTTCATATTATTTTCTAAATGTCTGTTGTTCTCTAATGAGAGAAAGAAAAAGGTGTCGATTTGATTGAGAGGAGTTCAGGGAGGGGCAACCATAATCAGACTATATTATATGGAGAAAACAAATTTCAATAAAAAAGGAAAAATGTGAAATTATACACATGAATGCCTTAGCAATACTATTGTCTATTTGTTTCTTCAAACATTTATTATAATAGTTTTGTGACTAAAACATTCAAAATACTGCCTGTTACCTAGCTTGAGCACTATAACACACTGTTATTTATTTCAAGGGTTCCTTTCATCTTATGATTTAATTTGAACATATTTACTTCATTTTTCAATTCATAGTGACAAGCAGTTTAACAATAATGACATAAAATTTTGGGATATCATGTTTAAAAGAAGCATCTTTCTGAATTATATTAAGTAAGGGTTTTAAAAGGTTTCGTTCATTTTATCCAGCTTAGGAACACATTTCATACCAGGATGAAGGTAGCAGTACAATGGAGGAAAGACAGGGCGCCGTGTGTTGAGGACACAGAGGTAGAGTCTGTAGCCATATGAAGCAAAGTCACTGGCTGTCCTGTTAAACTCTCAGGACTGTGGGGCATACATGGGCTGCAAAGAGGGTGCCGAAAGAAATTTAGAGAAATAGAGCTTAAGCTTTAAGCTGTTTGTGCAGAGAGTGGATACAAATGGTACCAGAGGAAGTTAGTTTAAGCTGTTTGTGCAGAGAACAGATACAAAGGGTGGCTAAAAGAAAGTTAGCTTGGGTTGTTTGTATGGAGATAAAGACAAATAGTGAGAAAGGAAGTTAGCTCAAGTTATTTATGCTAAAAACAGGAGATGATGTCTGGGCATAAACAACTTGTAAATAGGGTGATCTTTAAAATGATTGGTTGGTTCCTTCATCCCCTCCTAGGGTTCTGAGGTTTTCTGGTATAAAAGAGATTTACTGCCTATCAATAAACAAGTTCTTGCTTGACTTGATTCCCTGCTGTGTCTGATTGTCTCCTGGTAAGAGGGACACTGGGGAGCACTTGCCTTTCCTCAGTTCCAGGCCACCTCTTCACAGGTGACCTAAGTTCCTGGTGGGGTAGGTCTCCACACAGGACTCTGTGCACCATTGCAATTTTGAAGTTATTAAAACTTCAGTTGGTGGCCTTATACTGAAAATTATTTTCTTTCAAACCTTTTTTCTTTAGGGTCATAAATTTGGTGTGTTCAGAGGGTTTATTTTCACACAGTGACCAAGAGGTCCTCATTCACTGTAGCAGCTAAATTTGTACTTTTACATTCCTGAAGAGGATGATTCCTAAGAAATTTTATCTGTGATGATAACTGACTTCTCACTTAGGCCTATTCATCTTTCATCTCTACAACACTGTGCATTGGACCTTGTCTATAAAAAAAAGTGTAGTATCATAATTGTCAAGAGAGAACAGAGTCCTACTAAAATGTGATGTATTTGAATAGTTCTTCCACTTTCTTCTACTGTTTAAGATACATTCTGTGGTAGCATTTGGCCATAATTTGTTAAGCTATCCAATGACCTAGATTATAAAATTACTTAGAAGTATTGTGAGAATTTCACCTCTTACTATAAGCAAAACTCTTGATGTAGTCATAGCACAAATGTTATTACAAATGTTATCTATATTAGTTTTCTAATACTATGTTTAATTCTTCTACATTTTCTAATTATTTCAGTCCAAATGGATTAATAAAAACTTAATCAAAGACATTCTCTGGATCCCTCCCTTTGCTTAAAATTTATTTTGGAAATGAGTGTCATTTCCTTGTTATGAGAAAACTTTAATGAAACCTTAAAATCTGCCTGAAGGTGATACAGCAACGAATCTCTTTTTACAACCTTTTTCCTTTCATTCACCTCTCCTTAATGTTTCTCCAATATCAGGACTTCTCATGAGAACCTTTTGTTGAAGTTTTCTCTATGCTTTAGTGTGAATTATATCAAGTAAATCATAAATGACATGCAGGAAAAGGGCCAGGACCTTTCTACTACTTCAACCATGTTTTTTCTTTAGTAAATAGTACTCTGCACTTGTCTGATGCTCATTATGCCATTCAGCTTTGAACTAAAGACAGTTTAAAGGAATTTTTCACTCTCAAGCAGCAAAAAATGATTAATATGGAAGAAAAGAACAATGAAATTCTCCTCCATTATGTTTTCAAGTGACAATGATTTATATATTTTACTCTTAAAAAATATTTCTAGATCTACTCACACTACAGTTTAGAGGTATGCAATAATAAATATAGTTACACAAATGACATTCTGACCAATGACTTACCTTCTGATCTGGAGGATACAAAGCTATAAAGAGAAGAAATTTACTCACTGTGCTATAGTCAAATAATGGGGTTTTTTTTGGTAAATGTTTAATTTCTATTATGTTTGCACCAATAAGAATGATGCCTGGGAATTTCTATTTTAAGTTTCTCCTGTCTGAATAAATCCAAAGAATTCAAAGAATTTGTACCAGTCTTCTAAGTCATCTGAAGATCAAGACTTTGCACAATGTTTTTAGAGTGTTTTTTGCTATGCATAAGCTATACTTCCTCTAATGAATTTAAATAATGCCGTTGATCTTAAAATACTTTTCATTATATTGCATAGTACTTATTTCTGTGAATTCATTATGATTCTTTAAAAATAATTAGGCTTGGATCACCATTATTATAAATATATTACATTGGTTGTTTAATTCTAAGACTCTAACTAAAATATGATTAAGACTACATAAAGGAATATGCTACTACTTTGTTAATCTGTTAGAATGTACTGCTTCAAAATGAAGTTTTCCATAAAATTATCTATGTGTCACAAAATTATAATAGGGAAAGATTTCTTGATTTTCAAGAGGTTCACCATCTGTGTTTACTATAACAATCACTATATAAATTATATTTTTTTTAAAAAATCATACATGAACATTTAAATTAGTTTTCTATAATATGTTAAAATTTGGAATACATTGATATTGAACTAAAATGGATTTCAGTATAAAATAAGTCATATTTACCTTTCTAATGCAGATTAATTTTGACTTTTTATCACCTTGATTTAATGTATCATTTATTTTAAGTAGAGTCACTTGTATCCTCAAAGCTTTATCATCTTCTGTTAAGGAATTTTGTTTCTGAAGGCCATAAAGTTCTCTTCAAATAAATGTTACTCTGTCCCTCACCTGAACGCTGTCTACAGATCTAAATTTCTGTGTCACTGAATCTCTTTAAGGTTTGCTTACTGTCCTGTTTTATAATGTTTACTCCACCTTGACATTTAAATTGGGCCCCCAGTGGAATTGAAAGCACACTGTGTTTTTTTTTTTCCTAGACATGGACAGTTTACTGCGCAACACTGTGAGAGATAGTCCAAAATTTAAACCTTGACAATAATTACCTAATTTGGCAAAATTTAAAGCTGTGATATAAGTCTCTGTGTTTACTTGATCGGGTTTGAGCGGCTTGGGACTGGCGGGTGAGAGAGATTTGCCCTGACTGTGGGCCAGGCAGAAAAACTCTAGCAACAAATGGCGTTCAACGTGGTGGCAAGAGTTTCCACCTAAAACCTGAAAAAAAAGATTCTAAAACGGAGCTAAAAACAGCTTCCTAATTGTCTCTCTCAAATGAGCGGCAGCTGCCGGTTTGAGCTACTGGCGGGTTCCTAGCGTGTGCGCTCGACCTGCCCCCGTATGGCGGGAATGAGGCCTCTGCAAGTGGCATATTAAGCTGCATTGTGGATTTAGCCTTTGCTAGTACAAAACAAAAAAAAGAGGTTTCTGGGCTACACGCTGCTTGGATAAAAGCATAGACCCATGATGGCTCCCAGAGCTGGCGGTAAGCATACCGCCGCCATGTTGGGAAGCTGAGGTGGGCGGAGCCAGCAGCCACAGCTGCTGCAGCTTAAAGCAATAGATTCACAATAAGACAGATTCAGATGTAATAGTTTAAAATGTATGTAAAAT